GGCACTGGTTGACAATGGGCTACGTACGTCCCCTGGCCCTTGGGCCTTGGCACTGGCTGATGATGGACTACGTACGTCCCCTGGCCCTTGGGCCTTGGCACTGGCTGACGATGGGCTACGTACGTCCCCTGACCCTTGGGCCTTGGCACTGGCTGACGATGAGCTATGTACGTCCCCTGACCCTTGGACCTTGACACTGGCTGATGATGGACTACGTACGTCCCCTGGCCCTTAAGCTTGACCTTCTCCCGGGGTCTTTAGCAGGGCGCTCGTAGGTGATCCTTAAGGGTTGATGGGTCGGCCCTTATTGGGCCATAAACCCAACACACGTCAAAGACCTTCACCCGTAAAAGAGTAAAACGTGTACACTGCATTAAATGTGCCCTTCGCATTGCTAACATAAACACCCTATTACGAGTGGCTATAAAAGTTAGAAAATCCTCTATTACAAATTACTTTCTCTATGTATTATTTAGCATTGCATTTTCTATAATGCCACTTGTCGTTTCTTGTTAACTATCATGTAGTATAATGCCATGTTTGTTTTATTCAGTTCATGAACAAAAAATGTCCAATTTGCACTCTAAATCAACTAAAAATGATTCAAATTTCATTTTGTATGTAAACACCCAATCACCCACCGCGTCACCTGTCTGGTTGCTACATGTGCATCTGAAGTGGAAACTAAAAGCTCAAATAAGTTTCTGAACCTGTCTGAATGGTTCAATTAACCCCCTTAACTCTAAAAAGGTTCAACATTGATATAAATTCAAAATAAATAAATAAAATAAATATAAAATAATAAAAGATAAAGTATAAACATATGTGGCAAAAATATTTAATTTTTTGGTTAATTCAAAATATGAATATAAAATATAAAAAAGATGAAAATATAATAAATGTATATTTTGACACTATATTTTACTCTTAATTTTTTATTTTAGCCCTTTAATTTTCTACATTAAAGTTTTTTTTTTAAATTTATATTTCTTTTTTGTATGTATTATATTTTGATTCAATATGTCATACTCCGTATTATCTTAAATATTTAGGTTTAGGTTTGCAAACTGCTCAAAGTTGGATGAAAATACATGAAATTCTAACATATTTTCTTTCCAAATATGATTTCTTTAATACTAACTAGGTGTACATTAGTCCTATTTTGGGATAAAAATAATGACATTCTTATTTGAGAATATTTGCTATCTTTCAATTTGTTCCTGTTTAGTGATTTTTTCTTTAGAGTTCTAGTTTTGTTCTTACATTTATATTTTATATTTCAATAGATTTTTAACATCTATTCCTATTTATTTTGGTTTGTATTAGATACTACCTCCGTCCCCTAAAGTTTGTCACACTTTCTCGAAACGGGTGTCTCAAAATATTTGTCTTACTTTTTCAACTTCCTTATTTGGTAAACAAATCTATACCAAACAGTATCAAACAGTGCAAAACAGTGCCAAACAGTGTCGTTACAGTGTGAAACAGTGTCGTTACAGTGTAAAGTCAAATTCATCTCCTTAAAACTTGTGAAGTCAAACTATGACAAACTTTGAGGGACGGAGGGAGTAAAAAATTCATATTTATACTTTAAGTTATAGAAAATATTTCTGATTTGAACTTTTTTACATTTTTTTGCTATAACTTATTTTTGAAGTATTATAAATTTCTATTTATATTTCACGTGCAGTAACTCAAAACCTCCGAATTGATAAATTATAGAAACATAAAACAAAACAGTAATATAAAAACCAATTCTTAAATAAAATTTTAATGTAAAGTATATATAAAGACATAAAGTATGAGTACAGTCTGAAATTGTATTTTATTTTTTAATTTTTATATTTATATACTTTTTTAATTATTTTATCATTTCAATTTTTTATTTGGATTTATTACAATTTTGATACTTTTTAATACAACGTAGTTTAGGACATGATTTGAACATCTATGATGGATCAAGAGACTTATTTGAACCTTTCAATTTCACATCATTGATTTGCGGGTGTTTTACAAGATTATTACTAAAATAAAACATATTTACATAAATATGACTATTCATTACTACAATGTGGTGTTGTGGTAATTTAAACTCAAAACTTGAACATGAATTACTATGATTTTATTACTATTCTAGTCACTAGTCATATTTTTGTAAATCATCTTTATTTTGGTCATATTTATGTAATTATTTCTTGATTTGTGAGGTGACATGGTGGATGAAGGCACAAGTAACCAAATGTTGTGAGACTGAATTAAACAAACATGACCGACACAGAGACCTATTTGACCTTTAACCTTTCTAGATATGTAAATTGTTATACGTAGTATATACTATTTTAGACATTATCGCATAAAATTTAAATTTATCATTTACAAGTATATAAACTTAAACTACATTTGGGACAAAGTAAAAAACAATTATTATCTTTGTCTCACTAACATCGGATCACGATTATTAAAAAAGTGAGATTATGTGATTGATATCGAATTTATAAAGTAAGAATAAGGTAAAAATGATTTGAAACCACACAAACTTTACCAAATTTATAAGGTATAAAATAATTGTTCATCATTTAAGTGAACTAAATACTTCCTGGCTTTTTCCTTGAAAATTACTAATTTGAAGCTAATTTCCAAAAAAGGGACTAAAAATGTCACATATTTGAAAAAACTTGATGTCACTGTCATTTTTATGTCACTACCTCCCCAGTCCCCCTACACCTCCATCCCCCTCCCCTGCCCCCCAGTCCCTTCTACCAACCAATTACCACCTCACAACCGATCAACCATGGTCCGCCATAACCAAATCTAGCTGGGACTAGATCTAAAAGTCTAATGGCCGCCATGCTTCAGATCCGGTCGATTGAGAAGAAAGGATAAGAAGATATGAGTGGAGGCGAGGCGATGAGATGTGCGACAACAGAACTTGAGGTGGTGGCTTCTTCGTCCATGACGGTAGCAGAGCTCACAGGCGGCAAATTTTTCCATGACGACAGCGAAGATCACACGCGAGATGCAAGATGGAGACCTGCTCTGTGCGTCGAAGCCTTTTCCGTCCATGGGGTTCATGGGCATGAAGAATGACCGAAGGAAGAAGCGGAGCATTTGAAAAGAAGAAGGGGAGCGGACAATTTTTAGAGAAAGGGATCACTTTTCCGTCAAAAACCAATTCAATCACATTTATGTCTAATAGAACTTGAGAGGTAATACGTATGCCATTAAATATTTCCTCAAATTTATTTTAAAATCCAACCATATTGTTTGAATTCTTATAAAAATGAAGTCCTCTTCTTCAACTTAGCAAGGTCTACGCGATTTACGAAGTCAAAATCATACGTAGTATGTAATCATTTTATGAAGACAGAACCCTACAAAGACTCTTTCTAGAAGAGTATTTTCCTTACCTTAATTGGTTAACTAGATACACAAACTTAGGGATGGACCCAACCGGTTCAGCCCAGCCCGGAACCGGCTCGGCCCGAAAAACGACCCGGCCCAAAAACGGCCTGGCCCGCCACTGTGCGGGCCCAGACCGGCCCAATTGGTGCTAACCGGGCCTGGGCTTTTACCCAGTTGGGGAGGGTTGGGCAGGCCAAGCTCAGGCCCTGTTTTGGGTGAACCGGCCCATGCAGTTCGGTTCAGGCCGGGCCCGGGCTTTTTTTGTTTTTTCAGTTTTTTTTTTTTGTTTTCCTTGGTTAGGGCTGGGTGTTTTGGAGGGTTTGGGGGTGGGGGTTAGGGGTTAATTAGAAAGCAAAAAAAAATTAGCTTGACCCCGGCTAGGCCCGGCTAGGCCCGGACCCAGTATCAACCCAGGTCAGGTTCCTCGCCCAACAATTTGAAAAAAAAGCCCATCCAGGCCCGGCCTGGAACCGGACCGGGTCCAACAATTTGAAAAAAAAGCCCGTCCGGGCCTGGCCCGAAACCAGACCGGCCCGGGTCCATTCATGCACAAACTCATGGACGGATTCGGGCCGGGTCGGGTCGGGCCCGAGCCGGGCCTAGGCCCGGTCGGGCCGCCGGTTCCAGAAAAGTGGGCCCGGGACCGGCCCGAGGGTTGGACGGGTCCGGTTCGGGCCGGGCCACCCGCCCGGGTCACGGGTCGGGTCCGGTTCGGCCCGGGCCGGTTAATTTTTTTTTTAATTGATATTTTATAGTTTATAGTTTTATACGAGTATTAAAAACAAACTTCAATTGCATTTATTTGAAATGAAATAGGAACTACATTTGAAAATTAAAACAAACTTTAAGAGATAAACATTTTGAAAATTGTAATCAATCGGAACTTCCCGCACCTCCCGATCCTTTGGCTTTTTCACATGACTTTATATGCTTGATTGCCATCCCGAATCCGGTCTTCGGGTCCTTCGGCTGAAGCCCCCACGATACATTTTTTTTCGCACCATTTGCAAATTGCGTATCACATCCCGGTCTTCGGGTCCTTCTGCTTATCAAAATTATACCGTATAATGGCATTTTGATTTTCCATCTTAACTTCTTGGAGAAGAGAATTAGAGAGTAGATATATAATATATTGGAGAATAAGAGAATTAGAGAGTAGAGAGTTAAGAATAGGATTTAGGAAGAATTGGAGAAGAGATTTGAAAAAATGTTTAAGAGTAGGAGTATTTATAGGTTTTTTTACCCCCCCACCCCCCCCCCCCCCCACCCCCCTACCAGCCAATCCCCCCGGACCCCCCCTTTACCCCACCCAACGGCTATATAGCCGTTTGGGTTGTCCCCAGCCCCACCCCCAAGGCCTCAACGGCTAGTAGCCAAAAAACAAAAACAAAGTTTTTTTTTAAAAAATAGACCCGGACCCGGGACCGGGCCCGACCCGGCCGAGTCACAAAAATGCTGAACCGAGCCCGCCCCGCCCCTTCCCCCCGGTTCGGGCCCATACCCGGTCCCGGACCGCCCGACCGGGCCGGTCCCGGGCCCGCACAGTACCGGGCCGGGCCGGGTCACGGGCCGGGTGGCCCGAACCGAATCCAACCCTACACAAACTTATGGAACCGAAAAGTTTTTCTTCAATATCATACTTAAAATAAGATTACATGAACACATCCTTAATCAGAGCAGCAGTGGAGCCTCCCATAGTCCCATTAGTTAATACAAAACACAAACACAGTGCACACAGTACAGTCTCACGTTCAAAAAGAAAGGCTGAAAATCAGTTCATTCGCGATATATACCTGCTCAGAAAATGATTGAGCCATTAGAATGTAATTTCTATAACAACTTCTGTGTAAAGAAATACAGGTACACCATTACAGTAAAAGAGTAAAAACTACTATCCCACGCCCGATGAGGTCAAGAGTTACCAATTCACCATCAGTACAGCCTCTGCTTCACTCTTCTTCCATTTACATCACTTCCATCAAGAGCAATTCCACCATGATCATAACAAGCTGCTGGGTGTAAACCCATCTTGGCTACATAATTGAGCAGTTCAGTTAAAACAGAAGGGCAGCTTTCCTTCAGGTGATCAAATCCCTCTGTTTCCATCACAGCTAAGAAAAATGCAACAACCAGTCATTAGAAAACATCAATGTATAATGTATAATTGAATAAAAAGAAAATCACATTTAAAGTCGGGGTATAATGAGCCTAACCCCCTCATGATATATACTAATTCTGCACTATAGCCCCTTGTAGTTTAAAAAATGCATCAAACCCCCCTTGTTATGATTAACCATGCACATAGCACCCTCAAGCAACAAATTTAACTATTTGAAAAACACATATCTTTATGTTATGATGATTGAACATGCCAGAATACGAATCACTTTTCTTTTATTCGGCAATCAAATTTGTTTTTGAGTGGGTTATGCACATGTTTAATTATAACACCGGAGAGTTCGACGGATTTTTAAAATCACAAGGGGCTGAATTTGTATATCATGAGGTGTTTGGTGCATTAAACCCTTCAAAGCCACTACGAAAATAAAATTATCTGTATCATAAGCAGTGTTTACAGCATTTGACCTAAATGGTCATTTGTTGGGCAGTTGGAAAAAATAATGCCATCATGGCAGCACATCAAGTTTGGTAGGCTGGGTTCAAATTATTCCCATTAATAAGAAACAAGTCATTTAAATCTTATAAATCCTCAAACATGCAAAAAAAACTTCGGCCTTGTTTGGCAATTGGCGGTTAGCGGCTAGCGGTTAGCGGATAATGTCAGCGGGTTGAAAATAGCGGATTGAATCAGCAGATTTGACCAGCGGATTAATTTGGCGGGTTGCAAAATATGTTTGGTAACTTAGCTGTTTGTTAATAGCGGTTAGTAGGTAAAAAGACAAAAAGGACATTGGTACATTTTAGTGTGTATTTTTGGTTGTTTAATACTATGTATTTTGTCATATACTCGCATGTGTAAATTTATAAATGATTTAAAATTTAACTAAAAAAAATCATTATAACTAAAATTCATGAGTTCACTAGACCAATACAAAATATGTAATTGTTTAAAAACAAAGTTTCTAGCAGCTGTGGTGCACTTCTATATATGTAATACGTAGTATGAATTATACTTTTTGAAGTTACAATTTATCAGATTTCTTTCTATATAAATAGCTAAACTGACAAATCGATGTAACAACAAAAAACAAACCTCCGTGATGAAAAAGATGCAGATTATTTTCTATGCCATAGATCAGTAGATCACAAACATACAAACACCTTCACACATATGCATGACACGTACACATACATCATATTTTACACCTATGATGAGTCATACTTTATTTTAATGCAAGAGAGAAGAATAATCACATATAGTTGGACACCTCATCCCACATATACCTAGTTTCTCTCATGTGTAAGAGGAGAGTTTATGCAGCGGTGATAAATGACAACTATACTTACCTTCGAATTAAACTTGGAGCAAAAATATTGGTCTGCAATGGCGACAATAAATTTGGACCTCTGCAGTAGCGATTAAGGATTTGGAGTTTTGCAGCAGCTAAGGAATAGGAACGTTGAGAAGGGCAAGTTTGAGAAGTGATCTACGAATTCTAAAACGCCGAAACTAAGCGCTACACTTTGCAGCGTTTTCTATTTCGGCGGTTTGGCCCAAAACGCTAAAACAACCCGCTATTTACCAAACACTTAAAATCAGCTGTTTGAAAGATAAAAAACGCCAAACTCGGTCAAATCCGCCAGTTTTTGGCTAAACCGCCGTTTTCCAAACACGGCCTTCATGTCAAAGGTAGAGAATATAACATTTACCTTTCAAATTTTCGGGTGAAGCAATGAACTTCAGGCAAACAGATTTAAGTTGGACGCATTGGTGTTGATCAGCCAAAGCTAGTGTTGTAGCTACCGTATTGATGGCAACATCCTCTACGAGTTTAGACTCACACAGCACTCTTAACCTCTCAAGTCCATATCGATCTGCTGCTGCAAGCAAATGTTGGGCCATCAACGTGCCTGCCCATGTCATATCATGGCCAGCAAGATCTTGTAAATCAGGTAGTACATCCCAATATATGAAGTGAAGCAATGCCTACAAAAGACCCAGCAATGGATTTGTATGGCAAAACTCTTCCATCAGATGAAATACCAATAAAATTGGTGTAGATTCATTGCAGTACTTACAATAACAGTAAAACATGCATAGGCACACAGGAAAATCAGAATCAAACATCTCCTTGAACGTTACAAAATATGGATAACAAAGAACATGTCAATGAACTCTCAGTAAAGTGCCAATATGCAGTTAGTAGAACATTCAGTGATATCTATTACATCTGCCCCACTAACTTTGGGAGTTTGGGAGATGAAAAAGTGGCACACACATTAATGGAAGTGGAGTAATGTGGTAGGCATTGAATTTGTAAGTACAAATCAGTTCGAACTACACAAATATTACAAAAATAGAAAAACTTTGTGGAATAAAATAAAAAGGAAAGATGGACAGAGGGGGTAGTAAATTAGTAATATACAATGTACACATAGTCTTGAATTTTTTCTTATGGGGGTGGGAGTAAAAAGAAAACAGAGGAAAAGAGAAGTTTTAAAAACCTTGAAAACAGGAACTTGCATTTCTTCAATTCTAATGTACTGTGTGTCTTGTTCCTTCAAAGGACCAAAAAGCTGTGCCCTGAACACAGGGGAACGCGCAGCAAGGACTAGCTTGTGAGCTCGGAGGACTTCCCCCTCAACTTCAAAATTTATATCACTTCCCTCTGCACTTTCTAGAAGCTTCCCAAAATGGAGACCAATGTTAGATGGTGGCATTGGAATGGAGTAAATCTTGGGTGCTTCTATATACGTTCTGACAACACCAACAGTGCACTGTATCAAGAGACAGTCGTCTTTGAGGAAGTCCGATGTTTCCAACACACTTCTTCTGAAAAAGCGCTTATAGCCCCTGCAAAGAAAACACCATTTCATACAAAAAGTTATTAAATGGGTAGAAAAAAGAGTTAACTACATCTAAAAATGGAAAACACAAATGCATTTAATTAATACTCCATAGATATTGTTCATGTATATGCATTGGAGAATCAGCTACTGACTAGCACAGCACATGTGGAGATCTGATGCAAAAGATTGGGGAATGACAGAATGGATAATTTCATATTAACTCAAAGATCAAGTTGATCTCTGTTTATCACACACCAACAATGACACAGTAGCCAATATGCAAAGTGCTTTTATTCCTGGTTCTATAGGAGCTGCACACAGTTCGTGAATCGTTTTTTTGTAGTGATATATTGATATAGACCCCAAGCACGCAATTTTATAAATGGAATTATTGTAAGCATAGCTAAGTTATTTAAGAGGGAGAGAGCAAAGTTATAAACCCGGGAGGAGTGGTAAAGCTCCTCCCAGGTTTATAACTCTGCTCTTTCCCTCTTAAATAATCCTTCTATGAGTATTTATATTGTCTATCGAAAAATAAATAGAGTTTGGAAGTCCTAACTGCTACAAATACAAACCCTAATAAATCAAAACCATATAATTCTAGCTATGATTATTTATACAATAAATGCACTGCAGGTTTCTTCTCCATGTAAAACTATACCACAGGTAAACACCATATCTCAATGACTCAATATTTCATGTATCAAGTTTGAAAGGAATTTCAAATCAGTTTAAACCCTTAAGAAAGGCATTCCAAAAAATCTTTTTTATGCGAAATCATCAAAACTGATGTATATGGAGAAAACAAAATGATAAGAATGGAAAGTTCAGGCAACATATTCTTGAGATAAATGGACAATGATGAGAATGGAACTCGTAGAGAAGCTAAAAATACAACAAGAGAAGGTCAAACCGCACTAGGAGTACAAGAAAGTTCAAAGGTGGATGGCGGATTATCAGGCCATTTAGCATTCTATGATATAATCTCAATGGTCAATGCTAAACAAAAGCAAGGCATACATCTAAAGATAGCATAGACATAAAAAGAGACTGTGTGAGAACTTACCACATGCTGCCACGATACTTGAGGGTGTATGGCCCAGTCTCCAAGACCCTACCGAAATGAGAATGAACCTTATGCCTCTCATTCGCACTCTGATCCAACAGAGTCAGCTCAAACAGTGCCCGAACATCTGTTGCATCACTTGCCAACGCAATGAAAAGCGACACATACACGGCATTATCCTCCGCACTTTTACCATCGGGGTAAAAATAAATCGCCCAATCATACCCCCCAACAGTGAACGTCTCAGAGGCTATGTATTTCCCAATTCCCATGCCTTTCGACAGCGAATAACCTTTGATTTTGAAATCGTGCGAGCCGTTGATCGTCTCTGTCCGGCAGGTGGATGTAGTGGTGGTGGATTGAGCAGACGAAGAGGCTTCCGGCTGTTGAGAATCCAAATTAACCCGAACAGTGCCCATGTTAAGGGGTTCGCAAGTGATGGGTTGGACAGAAATCGGGGGAAGCAAAACAGACAGCGACGGGAAGTAGAGACACCGGAGGGTTTGGATCGGGTTCAAAACCTAAGGGTTTGATGGAATCAGGGTTTACAGAAATTGGAATATGGAAGATTGCCACTAGTCCGATATAGGGCCGGAGGAGAAGACAAAGAAGGAAGATATCGGAATCCAGGCGAGTGATTGTGAAATGAAATCTATCCAGGCGAGAGGACGACCTCGGCGCCGATATATAAAGACATGAAAGGTGGAAATTTGGGTTAAAGTATTGGAAATTAAAGGAGGACAATTTGTTTGATTAGGCCGCCGGTAATTGACTTGTGCAGTTGTACGTTGTGTGTACCAAAAAATCAAATACAGACTACACAAAAGCAATCAAATTTAATTTGATCACCATCATCATTACTCCCTCCAGCCAAAACTTACGCGTAGAGCGGGTAGAAGGTCGGATATACGTAGTCTTACGGCTGTACTAAAACACAAATAGACCGTTTTTGGATGATTCAATATGAAAATCGCGTCAAAATTTGTATGAACCGACTGTTGCTTCACAATAAAAAATCGCAGACAATTTAATAAATCATTTGCTTTATGTCATCATACTTCCAAAACATAAAATAATGAGTCTTATACTCCATTACAAACTAAGAAAGTTAATCAAATTTAATTTGATACTCTACAAAATATGAATGTTATACATGGAAAAAAATGTTCACCTTACCTGCAGCTATAACCTATACACTACTTAGTGCGCACAAAACTCTCAGGTAGGTTTGCCACTTAGATTCAGCTCTCATATCTATCCCTTATTCAAAGTTTCAAATTTGTTAAAGATGATTTAATTGATAACAAGAATTTACGAGTTGTTCGTGGTGGATTTTCACCTCATATTAACTTGTAAAAACATCATTAGGGATATGACAAATCATACACGTACAGGTAGTTAAACGGTAGTTAAGTGAGACTGTTGAATAGAGATCTCAGATTCAATCTCTAACGACGATATTGTGAGAGTTATCTAATGCGGTGTCTCCATGTGCACACCAGACTTCTAACCACTTCACTTATAAATGTTTGAGATCATACCGCGATTTACTCTTTTATCATTATGTCAAGTCGGGATGAAGACCATTCCACCTTTTGGGTATATATGAGAAATCATATACTTCATTATCCACATAGTGGTACTTATAAAATTACTAATGGTGATTGTACATCTCTTTTATATCTGATGAGGGAGAGAGATTTAGCTAGGGTAGAAGAGTAAGTGTGCCTGGTTACTCTATGAATTTGGTAGCATTTCTTTCAAACCGTATTAAACCGAATCGAATCGTAATCGATGAAAATCGAACCGAACTAAAGAAATTCAATAAAACTTTCATATAATATGGAAAAATGCTAGTAACAAATTCAATAATCAAACCAAACCAAAAAATAGTATGACTTTTGTTTGGTAATAATTCTTCCAACTCGTTCCAAATCGAAGCGAAACCGATAAAAACTGAATCAAAAACCAATATTCCCACCCTTAAATAGAAGTATCACTATTCGATTATTGTTAGTTGTTACCACTTACCTTGCATAAGTATGAAAAATTGTATACGTATGAAAAATTGTTGCTTGAGTTTAAATCATGAGGTGCATCTGGATCGGATAAAAATAAGCTTCATGATCTGATCGATTACTAGAGTTTTTTCTCAGAGTAATGTTAATTGAATAAATAATTCCCAAAATACGGGTGGATTAAAAATAATTCTCAAAATAATGTTGGAGTTAACCGTGCTTAAGGAAAGCTGCAACTCCAAGTGGCGGTTCTTCTCTTACAGTACAAAAGCCGCCACTCCAAGTGACGGCTCTTCTCTTACAGTACAAAAGCTGCCACTTCAAGTGGCGGCTCTTCTCTTACAGTACAACAGAACACGAACGATCTGCTTTGCTGTTGCGACGAACGATGAAGACCTGCGACGAGACGATAATCGCCCGGAAATCTTCGCATAGAGGATATAATTGAAGGGGAAAAGTGACATGGTGCAATCCGGGACTGCTTAAACTCCATTCTATCGACTTTCATCCGTTTGAATCGATGTATTTCTTCTATTTTGCTAAATCTAGGGTTTTGTTGATTTAGTTCGAATTTCCCATATTTTTTGGATTATGCTTTGTGTTTGATGTTATAAAATATATAAGTTGGTAATGCTGTTAGTCTGCTTGAATTTCTATAATTTGTTCATATAAATTATTCATTGTGTTGTTTGAATTTGAGTTTGATATATGGATTACTTTGACAAGAGTTTTGAAGCACATTATTCATACTTATTCATATGTATTACCCATTCAGTAATACTTAAATCGGCTATATTGACTGATTCTGTTGAAGTTTATGAAGTTCTACATGAAGTGTCTGTATTGGCTGATTCAACAAAATCCTAGGTTTAGCAAAATAGAAGAAATACCTCGATTCAAACGGATGAAAGTTGATAGAATGGAGTTTGACAGTTTGTTCTACATTCAAGAGGCTTGACCATGACAATTAATGATGCATTCATTGCGTTTAATGCTAGCTAATTATTATAACGGTTTTTGTGTGTATTATTATAGCCATTATTGTAATTAATGCAGGAGTTACTCAAATAGCTGACCGACATTAATGACGACATCATGACAACTTTGAATGTCGTCATAACGGTCAAAATCGTCAATAACGGACAAAAAGGCATTAATTACCCCTCATATAAGTAGTATCGAGCTCAATTGTAATAGGGGACACCCCTCATTCGGATTACACATCAATTTACATTCTATTTTGCTCACTTGACATCTTTCTTGTTGTTCTAGTCATTTTCCTTACCGTTCTTGTACGAAACCCAATTAATGCACAATTTCCATTGTAACTAGTTTTAGTTTATCAAAATTTGGCTAAAACAATTTGGCGCCGTCTGTGGGAAATCGTGAAAGAAATTTGTTCTCCATGAAGGAATCGAGCAACGAGATGATGGTCGAGTTTCATAAGCAATTGGAGGCGATGAAAGAAGAAATTCGGCGTGAAGTGGCGGAACGGATGGATCATCTCTAGCGAGAGAACGACGTACTGCGATCCCAGGTGCAATCGGCAGTATCCTTAGCCTCTAATTCAAGAAACAATCGACGGAACGATGCTATGACCGTTGTTAGTAGGTTGGACCTAGGCTTCACCCCGCCTCCAACGGAACCATTCATTCCTTGCTTGGGGACCGAGACATATGGAGAATCAGGACCGTCAAATTGATCTATTCCCCTTTTGAATCCTAGATGGAATGTATTCCACAACCTGTTTGCAGAACCTCAAAAGCGACGAGTTCCAGAACATGTCGACATCTCTAGACATGTCGACATCTCTAGGCGGAGGCAGCAGGAACCTGAAGTCATTGTCATCCCATCACCAACTTGACAGGAGGCGACCCAAGTGGTTACAACATATGTCCCGACCATGAGACAATCGCGGGCAGATCCGGCGGACCCCATGTTCGTCATCTTAGAACAGCTGAAGGAGATGCGAGATAAAATTAACAGCATCCCTGGAGTACCGCCACCATTGAATATTGTTTCGTAGACATGTTACGCAGACTCTCCTTTTGGACAACATATCACAGACGTCGAGATCCAAGGAAGTTTGTTGCCCCATCAATGAAGTTGTTTGATGGAACTTCCGATCTCTTGGAACACATTGCGCAGTACAAGCAACAGATGTTGGCCATTTCAGTCAGGCCAGAGCAACGGGAAGCTTGCCTATGTCGAGCATTCAGGACGACATTAACGGGACCAGTGTTGACATGGTATGTCAATTTGCCTAACGAAGGAATCAACTCATTCCCAGAACTCGTCAACCTGTTCAACCGACAATTCGCAAGCAGTCGGGTCCTCGAAAAACAGACCAGTGACCTTTACCGAGTAATCCAACGACGGAGTGGATCTTTGAGATATTATTTGCACCGATTCAATAAGGAAAAGGCGTCGATCCCAAAATGTGACGTCTCTACCACCATTGAAGCATTCAGAAGAGGTTTGTATGAAGATTCGGAGTTGTACCACGAACTGACGAAATACCCTTGTCGGTCCTTCGAAGATGTCAAAGCAAAGACGTTGGCTTTCATCCGTCTAGAAGAGGACTTACGATCCCGTCGAAGACAAATTTAGCATGAAGGGGGCACAGGAAATCAGAATCTCCCAGGAGGCATGATAACAAGCATGGAAAACCATATTCGAGACCTGAGGAATGAGTCATCACTTCTGTGACGAGATAGATCGGACGACATGACCGAAGTCGTCAGACGGGGGGCATGTTGTCCGATGATACACAGGTTCCGAAGAGCCGCAATAAGGTACCCTTAAAGTTGTTTCATTTTTAGTTTTGTATTTTCTTTTACATAGTGTTGTCACTCATGTGATGAGATAAACCAGACGACATGACTGAAATCGTCGGACAGGGGGGCATGTCGTCTGACAATAGATAGGTTCTGATGATAAATATTTCTCGAGTTTGTATACATAGTTTTAATTTATTACTTTCATTTATCTATAAACGATTACTAACTTAAGCATCGGAGGGCCATTGACTTCTAGCCAATGGCCAACGTTAGCGAATTCTTTTTTACACATGTACAATCAACAATTGACGATGACGAAATCCTAACATACAAAACCTTACAACACGTCAAAACACAATTGACGGAGGGCTTACAGAATTTTAGGGGAAGAAGTGAGGTTTTCATGTACGCTAAATATGAGTATAAACACCAACGATTCTCCGTAATATTTTGGCCAAAACTACAGAAATACACAACAGAGGCATGTGCTCAAAAAGCATGGCAACAGAAGCTCCAAAACATAAGGAGACAATACGGACGACATCGACACAAATCACAAACATTCATGTCGACAATGTTGTTAAAATCACTAACGAAACATTATTCATAGTTTTTTCAGTATATGGACCACGTTCACGCAACCTAACTCATCTTACTTAGTGACAAACGATGTTCCCTTTGCTGGCTGAAGTGTTGACATCGACATGAAAAATGTTGCAAATTTATGACACGATGTCGTCAGCACAGTTTCGGAGGGAAGAAGACAAAGTGTAAGCTTTCAGTCTTCATCATGTTAGTCAAGGAGACAGATTCGATAGGAAGTTACTCGAAAGAAAGACGACAACATTTCGTCGGACAAGTTGATCAATACGTCACGTCAAGTCAATGATGAGCCAATAGGTGCAATGAACCAAGATGTGAAGTGTACTTTCAAATTTTCGACAAGTTGATGCTTAATGGATCGACATGTGCATGATATGCCTCAACTTCTCGAAAGGGGGCAATTGTTGGTGCAGGAATTTGACAGCTTGTTCTACATTCAAGAGGCTTGACCATGACAATTAATGATGCATTCATTACGTTTAATGCTAGCTAATTATTATAACGGTTTTTGTGTGTATTATTATAGCCGTTATTGTAATTAATACAGGAGTTACTCAAATAGTTGACCGACATTAATGACGACAGCATGACAACTTTGAATGTCATCATAACGGTCGAAGCCGTCAACCACGGGCAAAAAATTACCCTCCTATAAGTAGTATCGAGCTCAATTGTAATAGGGGACACCCCCCATTCGGATTACACATCAATTTACATTCTATTTTTCTCACTTGACATCTTTCTTGTTGTTCTAGTCATTTTCCTTACCGTTCTTGTACGAAACCCAATCAATACACAATTTCCATTCTAATTAGTTTTAGTTTATCAAAATTTGGCTAAAACACCATGTCACTTTCCCCCTTCATTTCGAAACAATATTGATCAAATATATAAAATAATAAGTTAATTATGAGTACATAGAAATTGTGAGATTCTTAGATTAAATACAAACACATTTTTTCTTATTTTCTTACTCTCCATAATATTATGAAATTGGTACTTTCTACGAAAAATAAATAAATTGAGTTATTTTTAAATTTGTTTATTCGGTATATTTGATGACTACAAGCTAAGAGATGATGACATTATAGTAAAAGTTAGTGATGATTTTTAGAACTGGGCATGAGTGATTTGTTTTCTTAGATAAAAGATAATCATATAATAGCTACAGTTGAAAGCACATATCCCGATTTTTGTGATATATTAAGCGAACCAACATATATATATGTATAAGAAAGAGCGATCCTAGCTTGTGCGGTTGCGCTTACACTAGACATTACTAATGACATAAGTAACTACATGCTCTCATTATCGATGTCGTAGGAGTTACATATCTTAGTTTAATTAAAATTATTCATTCGCACAACGATATTACGTACCTTCCATATTAATATGTACATCGTCTAATACCGAGTATCTTAATAGCGCTCCAATGACTGAATTCCCTAATCATGTCCTCCATTTGAATATCAGAGCTCCAATTATGAAATTGAGAAATATTAATCACATATAGGTTTTATTTAATGGAACATGGTTGGTCATAATTAGACGTGGAAAAGCAAGTATGACAAGTCATAATTTGAAAAGTTATGAAAGATAAAATTTACATATAGAGAATCTCATTGTGAGCATATGGCAACTTTACTCAATTTCTGAAAAAAACAATTTACTGTGATGACAAACTTTGCAATGACAATCAATAAAAAACAAGGTTAAATGTTATCACATAAAATTTGATTTAGAGGCCTTTGGTAATGCCAAAATTGGTTGAATCGATTGATTCTGCTGAAATTTATGAAGTTCTGACTAAAGTGGTTGCATTGACTGATTTATGAAAAAATTATATTTAAAATATATTTTATTAATAAATAAACAAAAAAATTGTGAAAAATATCTAAAATGATTCTCTACAGTAACTTCGTCAATACAGCCAAAAAAGTAAGCTTAGCCTTAATTTTTCTTATTATTACACGGTTCAACGCACGAAATCAAAATTTACGCGTTTTGTGAAAATATGGACTCATAAGCGTGACAATCCGAAAAACATGGTTACTAAACGAGCTCTTATAGCTTGAGAGATAAGTTTCAATAATGGCCAATTTTTTTACCAAAACGGTAAATGTGATTTATAAGGAGGTTTCCTAAAACCTAACAATGCGGTGTTCGGTGTGTGTGGTTTTACATCACAATGTCAGTAAACGTATTCCCTGTAATTAATTTACTATCCACAACGAGCAAATGTTTATGTAAAGTAAAAATGATGAATTATTCATATATTGTGTAAAATATACTCCGTATATGTTACAAAGTATTCAAACATTTTCAAAAACCGACCGGGGCTAGCGCCTGGGTAAAACACTAGTTTGCTCATGATTGTTCAACGCCTTGAGCTCTCTTATACATAAAAATGATCTCGGCGGTGTAGTAAAATTGATTTTGCAATTGTAAGATAACTGCATGCATGCTAATTTTACTATTTTGTATTTCTAATGATAATGTTGTGAGTTTTAGTCATCACTAATTGAACTATAAAGGAATTTTATCAATTCAGGACCCGAAAGATAGATGAATTATCAATCCGGGACCTGAAAGATGAAATGTATCGATATAAGACCCGAATGATGGAAAACTATCGATTTAGGACTTGAATGATTGGAAATTATCAATTTAGGACCTAAGTTGTCCGAAATTTTATTAATTTTTTATCTTAAAATTTTTAAATATTATTTAGTTTTATGAAACTAATAAACTTTTGTGAAGAAAAGTTTATCAAAAATTAGCAATGGAATTAATAAAAATTAAATAAATCAAAACCTATGAAATTTTAGGTTCTAGATTTATAGTTTTTCATCATTCAGGTCCTATATCGATAGATCTCATCTTTCAGATACCGAATTGATAATTCATCTATCTTTCGGGTCCTGAATTGATAAAATTCTAACTATAAACGAAGATAAATACGTTAGATAATTTTGTTGATCTGATATTACTATTTTTTCTATTTTTTAAAAATCATTCGCCAAAATAATAATAAATTCAACAAAAAGAATTCACACATTTCAAAAATTAAATTCTAGATGAGAACTTTTTTCCAAATGCATTGGCCCAAGAATTCATAGCCATCCTTGGTGTACATTTTAAAAAAATCTGCCTTTTTGAGGAATTGAATAGGTACAAAAATATGCACAAACAGTTTTTACCCATCATATTTGCACATGCATGTAGCTAGCAGGTATCTTGTCAACCGCTATTTCCCCTCTGCGGCTCTGCCTATCTCCTCTACGTCCTTCATTTACAATTCTCAATTTTAATGTGATTCTCTCTTAGCTTATTGTAACTTGGGAACCTGAATTATTCTTCTGAACAGGAAACTAATCCCCTTTTCTTCTTCCTTTGTTGTTGTCCTTGAGGAGGAGCCATGGGAAAGTCCAACCTTCCCACCGTTTCTCAAAGGTATTCTCCTTCTTTCTCAAACATGAATGTACATTCTGAGCCGAATCTAGATTAAAATGGTGGCTCATGAAACATATAAATTGAAGTCCGCCCCACCAATCTTGTATTTATTGTCCATATGCCCATTCTTCTTATTACGGAGTATATTTTATCATATCAATTTGCACGGCATATATGTATGTATCCATGCATGTGTATGCATGAATCATGGATTTCATATTATTGTTTTTTTTTAAATTATTTCTCATGAATTTCATATTATCTCATGTGTTTCTTCAATTTCACATTTTTGTTTTTAAAATACGATCATTATATTACCTAATGTGAAAAGCCAATAGGTAATCTTGTTAGTTTATATTGATAAGGATTGAATCTACTCTATTTTGGGTTGGAATGACTAATGACTGGTAGGTGCATATTTATCATTTGAAATTACAGCTAATATTTGGCCAGGTTTGACATTTTAGGTTTTTAGAGCTGTATTGGATGTAGAAAAGGAGATGGTTGATAAGATTAATAATCTTGGTAGTAGTTACTTTTTCAGGGTTCACTCGAATTTGATTCAAGTTTAAATGAGAAATTAGAGGTTTTCTGGCAATAAGTTTATTTCAGATGCTGGTATAGTTTACAGATTTTAACTGCTAATTCGACTCTCCATGAACAGTGGCTATAGAAAGACCATTTTTTATTTTTTTGTTCCTAGTAACCTTCTTTGAGTTCTTTCCATTGAGTAATCTCTAGTTATCTTTCATTTTTAGGAAGTTTTCCATGTTTTGTTGTCCATTATTGAATTCCTTTTTAGGAAAAAAGAGGAATAGTTATTGGTGATTGTATTTCATCCTTTTGTTTCTCTTATAAATCGGTTTAAGTGCCCTTGATTATTCTATTACTATGATGGTCTATGAACTTTTTGAGGAGCTACAAATGAGTTCTTTTAACTGGTTTCATTCACAGTGAGGATGATGCCGAAGAAAATGATGACATGGGGATTGCTGAAATTGCACCGAAGCTATTGTTTTGTTCGTCTATTTCTCTCACAGCTGAAGGTAAATTCTTGTTAGCATCTCATATCAGAAGATTAAAGAGAGAATGATGGGGAGTTAATAAGACTTAAGTGTGTTTTGACGGAAGTGCTATACGGCCCAATTAAGTGACCCCAACCCAACTCTGCATTCTATCAATTCTAAATCTCTGTGCGCAGACCATAGTTAGGGAATGAAACATCCCTATTCATGTCATTCAAAAATTGTGTTTCAGAGATGCAATGCTTAAGCATGGGGGGCAATGAAGATCAGAGTAGAGGAGAGCACAGAAAAGCTTCGAGTAGGGAGGCCATTGAGGAGAAGAAAACTTGTGAAGAAACAACATCAGAGGCCAATAATTTCTGTATCTTGCCCACTCCAGCTGATGGAAAAAGTCATTCTCAGTGGCATGGATTCCTTAAGAAGCTGAAGAAAGGACAAGCAATGAGCTTGCATACATTTCATCCCAGCATACCAGCTCTTCCCTCGATGAAGAAGACCCCCAAGAAAAGAACAAGGAAGAGTTTGCCCGCTCTCCCTGCTGAAATGGATGCAAATCATCTTGTACCGTCGTGCTTTGAGACTTCTTGGAAAAATTTCTCCCTTTCTGAGCTACAGAAAATCACTGACAACTTTAGTCCTGGTATGCTATCTTTTCAGTAATACTGAGTTAATCTTTAAAGAATGCACCATCTCATGTGTTAGAAACAATCAAACAAAGGATAGGCAAACCAGAAGGCTAAATGAGGAGTGATATAGCAAGGAGAAAAAAAGATTTTATTTATATTTCTCAATATTTGGTTGATACAAAATGGTGATTGAAGACATCTGTTTATACTAGTTCTTGTGATCTAGATTTTCTACTATTAAATATAATTCTTCCACTTGTATACTTTTCTACATCTCGGGCTTATTCTTAACATTATATAGATAGTATCAAAAACCCAAAAGTAATCCAATGTTAAACTAGCTAGGCTCAGCCGCTCAGAATACAAATATTAAACTTGATAACAAAACAAGTTTACTTTTCAACATCATGTTTCCAAGATCTTTTTTACCCACTTTCTTTTGGGTTTTCCATTCCTACTTAATGCTGAAAAATACATCTGCATATAACTATATATGGTTCTGAAATAATGTGGGTTTGTCATTCTTTAGAAAATTTGATCGGGGAGGGAGGTTATTCAGAAGTATACAAGGGACACTTGGATGATGAGCGGCTAGTAGCAGTTAAGAGACTGATAAGAGGAAGTCCTGAGGAGATGACAGCAGACTACTTATCTGAACTCGGAATTTTGGTACATGTGAACCATCCCAACATTGCAAGTGTTATTGGTTATGGAGTTGAAGGAGGGATGCATCTTGTCCTACCGCTGTCTCCTAATGGGAGCTTAGCAACTTTGCTCAATGGTCTATCCGCATTCTTGCTTCCAATTAGTTCTTTCATTTCCCAAGTACTAAATCAATATGATTTACTTACATTTAATTGGAATGATTGTCTTTTGTTTAGACCACAAGGAAAAGCTAGTTTGGGAAAGTAGATACAACATCGCTTTAGGCACTGCAGAGGGTCTGTCTTATCTTCATGAAGGGTGTCAGCGAAGAATTATCCATCGAGATATCAAGGCTGCTAATATTTTGTTGTTACAGGACTTTGAGCCTCAGGTATTTTTTTTTAACTTATAAAACACATTTAACCTAATAAATGCGTGGTGATTAGAGGGTCAGCCCACCAGGAGTAACCACCTCCAGGTGTTACAAATGGCATCAAAGCAACCATCTTAACTAGTTTTCTACAAAAGTGCTATGCTATATTGCTATTACCAAGGCTAACTGTCCAAGTATGAAGTATGTGTTCTTGCCCAAGGAAGGAATTGCAATATCCTTATATCCACATAACACTAATAGTTTTATTTGGAACCTTGTTGAAGAGTCTATCTCATATCATAACAAGCGACCATATAATCAATGGACTTATTGCTCCTATCATATCATGATGAATTTTTAGAATGAAACTTAAATTGTTAATGTGATACCAAAGTCGACCTAAATCATAATGATGAGTCATTGATGTGAGTTTTTGGTGGAGAAAAAATGCACGATATATGCTCTTATGAGAAAGGGATTGTAGGGCTGTGAGGAGTGTGTACCCTTGTTACAATTTTAAAATACACAATCCAAAGAGGAGAAACACTAAACTACTCCTCATATCACATTGACATTTTAGGAGGGGCCCTCTAAAATTTTTAAAACATTTTAATATGGATGCAGATATCTGATTTTGGGCTCGCAAAATGGCTCCCTGACCAATGGACTCACCTCACTGTATCTCAGTTTGAAGGCACATTTGGGTTGGTGGAGACAGAAAACCTTGAACTCATTTCTTCATTTATTCAAGCATCTCTCCACTGTCATTGCATTTATGTATTTATTATTCTTAACATCAGATACCTACCCCCTGAGCTCTTCATGCATGGAATTGTTGACGAGAAAACCGATGTCTATGCTTATGGGGTGCTGCTGCTGGAGATAATTACAGGCCGCCCTGCTTTGGATCAATCCCATAATAGTGTAGTGATGTGGGTATGTTATGCTGCCTTAAACTCGGACATTTAAAAGTGGTTTCTATATCCAGCATACCAAATTGAGATTAAAATCTAAGAAGGCTGCCTATGTAGGCCAAGCCTCATCTGCTCAAAAGAAATATTGCCGAGTTGGCTGATCCAGCTTTTGGGGGAGTGTATAACATGGAAGAGATGAGTCGCATGGCTATGGCTGCTTCTTTGTGCATACAGCAGTCTTCTGCAGATAGACCTTCAATGAGCAAGGCATGTCATCTTAAATAAACTTCAGTCATACTTCATAGATGTTAGATACGCATATCACTATAGCAACATCAAATTTATTTACCTTTACCCCATTATGGACAACTTGTTGGGAATTACATGGTCATAACAAAACCAAATGTTTGAGAGAAATACTTCTCTTACAATAAAAAACAGAATACAAGATTTAAACAAGAAAACTACTGATTTAGTCCAATAATTTTTGCATGTGCCTATTATTAGCCTTGTAACTTCACTGATCATACCCGAACATCCGGTAGCAAATAAGTTCGCCTATCTTCGGGTACTTTCCTGGAGGAAAAAGCCACCGAAAATAGTGAGAAAAACTTAATGTGGGTAATCTTAATTTTTTCCAAAGACGTGGTTTTGATGGCAACCTCCAGTCCTCCAGCTACAGAAAAACCCTAGGCCATCTCTAGGTGTAAAAGTTGACAATTTGAAACGGCCGGAGATTGACAAATTGGACTTGAGTTCTTCATTCAACAAGCCTGTATCTTGGACATATCCTCGAAACTTAATCCTTCGTTCCTTCAAAACTATCATATTGATGTTGAGCGTGATGCAGGTTGTGAAAATGTTAAGAGGAGAAGAGGACGCGTTGCAGATGAATTCAAAGTTTCAAAAGCGACAAGCTCTTGGGAGGGGAAATGCGATGGAAGCGTTCAACGAACACCTGCTACTTGATGAACCAACAAGTTCAACAGATGATGCTGCTTAGATCTAACGGTCAAAACACTGAACCAAACGTTGACCGGTCTCGAGGATTTCATTTAGGGATACATCTGCCGTAGAGTGCTCTGTGAAATTCACAGTACGTACCGAGTTGACTCAGATCTGGACGTTTTTGCTCCTTCCAGCCACCATGATATGGTCTATGAAGGTCTGAACGCCTGGATTCATTTATTGGAGATCAGAATGAATAGAGGGTGTGATTAAGGAAGGATTTGGGTGGCTTTTGTGCTGCTTCTACTGATATTTTAGATTCCATTGGCAGAAACATACTGTAAAAAAATATTATTTAGACATCTTTAGGCAGGTTTTAAAATGTGCTTCTCCACTTTTATTCAAACATTAGTTTCTGCTCTCAGAAAATGAGCAAAAACAGTTTTCAAAAATACATCCAAATACCACTATAATTGTCTTGTATCGTATGAGTCCTGTTATAAAAAACCCACAGGCAAAGCGCCAAAGCCGCAAAGGTTAAAGAATTCAAAGAACAAAGCTCCTTAAGATCAAAATAGTAGGATGTCACCTGATGCAGTACATTTGTTTTGCATCTTAATACAACCTTTTATATCTTTTGATCATTAAATAGGGAATTTGTTTGCATTTGCCTTACTTCCTTCACCACAAAAAAAAACTTGTTTTGTTTTGTTTTTTATTCATTTGTGTAATCAGAGGCAAGAGACTTTCATGTGTCTTTAAAATGTCAATCTTAATATTTTGTTGAGGAAAGTGAGAGCATTGTGTGTGTTTGGTTGAAGAAAATAGGGGGAAGGGAAAGAAAGTGGAAGACTTTCAAAATCTTCCACTTCGTCTTATTCTAAACCTCCAAATCGAGATATTTCGGAGGAAACATGTTGATAATCACAGATTATCCATCTCCTACGTGAATTAACAAAACGTTATAATATAAAAAGGTAAAAAACAAAAAGTCTTGAAAAATTAAAAAAATTAAAATTTTAAAATTTAAAGATTAAAAAATTTAAAAATTAAAATATTAAAAATTTTAAAAATTTAAAAATTTAAAAATTACAAATTTTAAAAATAAAAAAATAAAAAAAATTAAAAAATAAAAATTAAAAATTAAAAATTCCAAACTGAAATATGAAAAGTTATAAAATTAAAAAAGTAAAAAATCAAATAAAATAAAATTATGACTCATGACCATAGGAGTAATATTCACAATAGTTAGATATGTACCTATTTTTTTAAGTAAGCTATCAAATAAAATAAAAGTAAATTGCAAAAATATTTTCATTAAACCTTTCCTCCTGTTTCTTCCAACCAAACACAAATTTTTATCAAAATCCTTCTTTTCCCTTCCCTCCTTGACTCTCCCATTCCCTCCCCTCCGTTGAACCAAACACGGCCTAAGAAAAACAATCTCTTCTTCGTTGAGTAAAAATACAACAATCTCAAACACTAAAATCAAAGTAAATGATGATGAAAGAAATGTTGTGATTGTTTTGATGGTTGCATGATGGAAAGCCGCACATGAATAAGGCTTTTTTGGAAACTCTGTCTTGCTTTGAAGCTATGAATAGCAACATTTATTTCATTGTAAAGTGTTGACAACTTTGTATTCTTAGCATTAGACTCCCCTCCACCTTCTTCGCGATCTGTAACATTCAGCTTGATCTAGGTGTCGGAGCGTCCGCTCAACATAGTGTTGTAATCGTTCTAAAGACTTCAATAGAACTGAATCCACTTTGCTCTCTAATTAGTTGCCTTGTTCTTATTCTTCTGTTGCCTTAAGGCTTAAACTCTTACTAAATCAACCTATAACAAATTAATTCCTACGAATGTCAAAGGACTGTATTGAGTATTTGGACTTCTAGGAATAAACATCAACTGATCAACACCCATACTACTTTTTCACGTTTGCTTTTACCAAGCTTTTTTTGTAGTGAATTTAGGTGACATAAATAGTACTTAGAAAGAAAGAATTAATATAGTACACAAAAATCGTTTACTTCAAGTGGAAATGATTTTTCCCGTTAAAAAACAAATTATTTTTAAAGTGTTAAATTATTTTTTGGTTTTTATATACTAGTATTCAATATTGGTGTCATATGAAAGATAATAAAAAATTGTGAATTTTTTATATATTTTTTTTGTAACAGGAGATTTTATTTTGGGTGCGACCCATTACCTTGTATTCTTGGCTTTGGCATTGCGTGTTACGTTCTTTTTTTTTTTACTTACGCCACCTAGGGATGGATTCGGGTTGGGTCGGGCCCGGGCCGGGCCTAGGCCCGGTCGGGCCGCCGGTTCAAGAAAAGTGGGCCCGGTACCGGCCCGAGGGTTGGACGGGTCCGGTTCGGGCCGGGCCACCCGCCCGGGTCACGGGTCGGGTCCGGTTCGGGCCGGGTCGGTTAATTTTTTTTATATATAATTTATATTTTATAGTTTATAGTTTTATACGAGTATTAAAAACAAACTTCAATTGCATTTATTTGAAATGAAATAGGAACTACATTTGAAAATTAAAACAAACTTTAAGAGATAAACATTTTGAAAATTGTAATCAATCGGAACTTCCCGCACCTCCCGATCCTTTGGCTTTGTCACATGACTTCATATGCTTGATTGCCATCCCGAATCCGCCTGAAGCTCCCATGATACATTTTTTTTCGCACCATTTGCAAATTGCGTACCACATCCCGATCTTCGGGTCCTTCTGCTTATCAAAATTATACCGTATAATGGCATCTTGATTTTCCATCTTAACTTCTTGGAGAAGAGAATTAGAGAGTAGATATATAATATATTGGAGAATAAGAGAATTAGAGAGTAGAGAGTTAAGAATAGGATTTAGGAAGAATTGGAGAAGAGATATGAAAAAATGTTTAAGAGTAGGAATATTTATAGGTTTTTTTACCCCACACCCCCCCACCCCACCCCTACCAGCCAACCCCCCGGACCCCCCCTTTACCCCACCCAACGGCTATATAGCCGTTTGGGTTGTCCCCAGCCCCACCCCCAAGGCCTCAACGGCTAGTAGCCAAAAAACAAAAAAAAGTTTTTTTTTTTAAAATAGACCCGGACCCGGGCCCGACCCGGCCGGGCCGGGTCACAAAAATGCTGAACCGAGCCCGCCCGCCCCTTCCCCCCGGTTCGGGCCCATACCCGGTCCCGGACCGCCCGACCGGGCCGGTCCCAGGCCCACACAGTACCGGGCCGGGCCGGGTCACATTATTTTGGGAAAAAACTCACGAGAATTGTATACTTTTTTTAACTAAAGAACAGAGAGACTGTTTACGGATAACCCATAATGAAAATCACGTTGAAAATTGCATGGACTAACTACTGTTTCATAATAAAGATTCGCACACAATTTAGTGAGCCATTTTGCTTTATTATCTTTTCAAAATTTTCCAAATTACATGTAAATTGATCACACATGCAACTACATCATTTATTGGGACTTATAGACAACTACACATTTATTTTACCCAAATAATTAAAACTGATCATACAGAAAACTATTGCTATGAACAGCACAACTATTATCTGTGTCAAGAATCTATGTGAATACAAACAACTAAAATGATCACACTATCTCTATCCCTCCCTCCTCTACGAGTCTATGTACAACATAACTCTTGATTTGTTAAAGCAAAGCACCTTCCAACCTGTGTGGCACACTGCCACTGCACCATACTTACATATCAATATAAGTTGACCATATATAATACTGTTTGAATAACTACTAATGGAGTAATGGATACTGAAAGTCGAAAATATCAACAAATGAGCCAAAAACCAAGTCAGGGAAAAAACTCGTACTTGGTTCTTATATACATGAGTACATTACATTGTGCTTACCTGTGGGGCACTACATCGTAATTCAGAGTCAGCGAGATGCAGGCAAAATATCAAGACATGCTGTATCGGTCCAAGGCTTAAATACTCCTGCCTGAGTCAAATGCTGCCACAATTGAACAAATACTTGCGATTATTATTCTATAGTTTTGTGAACAATAGGACTTAATAGAGCTGCGCGAGATAAAAATGTTAGCTGTGAAATTTCTAGTTTTTCTAATCTTTAATGTACCCAATGGTACTCTCCTACTCATGTAAAATTTTACATTTCATGGTGGTACCAAGATTAATTATGGATTTACGGTCAAACTTTGCTGAACTGGTATCCAAAGGCACCCTAGATGCCACATCATGATGTCAAGTTTAAGGAGAGAAAACACATGAAAATGCCAACTCAGCAAAATTTGACCAGGATTAAACTTGCAACTTTGGAATGTAATATTGTCATGAGTATGGTTGCAGTGTACAACTGCAAGACATTTCGAAGTTGAGTTAGCTCCTTTCAAATGAATCATATGAAAATTAAGAAGCTGAATCAAATCAATGAAGTGAAAATAGTTATGGTGCATGTTCAAACTTTTTGGAAATAAAAGTAAATGTTTCAATGGATGGCCTGAGGACGTATTTATAAACCTACAAACCTATTTAATGATCATCCCTCTACCGACTTACCAGCAAAGGAAAAAGAGAAAAAAAGAAATATCGTTTTGAACACAAATTTTAAGTTTATAACAATAAATAATGCAACAAATCAAGCTTCCACTCTTTGATACTCCATCTTTATTCTGAAAACAAACTACTAAACTAACATACTCTTTAAATCTAAAGCTACAAAATATACTGCCTGTCTTTTCTACGTGTGTCAAACTGAGAAGAGATAAATAAAAACGGAATAAAAGTGATAGCAGACTATTAGCATGTAAGTAAGAGAAGAGAGGGAGGGCTGGGGGCGGGGTGGAGGAGCTAGGAGAGATAAAGAAACTACTTATACATCACCCATAATAGGGACACCATGAGTCAATATATTAGGGAAGTGTGGGAGACAGTCCACTCACCTGAAGCCAAAAGAAAAACCCGCGCAAAATGTTCAACCTTTTACGTTTGTTAGCTTGCGCTTCTTTTAGTTTATCCTTGAGATCTGCATGATAAATTATCAAATCAAATTAAATTAATAAATAAAGTAGTTCTTCCCAAAGAATTATGGTATGGTTTGCTAGGGGTTTCTCTCAGTATTAATTTTTACTCCCTCCGTCCCTCTATCTTTGCCCCATTTTACCTTTTTCATTTGTCTCACTAAGTTTGTCTCGTACAATATTTGGTAATATTTGGGTGATTGAAATTCAATCTTTCGTTATTATCACTTTACTAATTCAATACCAACCACATAACTCCACTTTTCTTAATAACCGCACCACTCCCAATCTTAGGGGGCGGAGGTATTATTTCCCAATATATAAGAAAAGCAATAAAATACACTTCACAGTACTAACTACTAAGGAAAAGCAGATCTTCCGAAATAGCAACAGGGGGTGCAAGTGTGCAATGGAGGCACGGCTGTTGGGCACATGATGGGGGAATCTGGCAACAGGTGTGCAACATAGACATGCAGTCCCAGGGATGGTGGTGGTTCAGACGACGAACCCAAAGAAAAGAAAAGAAAGTAACGTGCGCAAACCGCAAAAGAGAACCAAACACCGTATATAGAAGTCTTCTGGATAAAGGGGGCTGTGAAAATCACTCAAGATGCGTAACCTACCGAAACTGTTGATCCGATACCATATGAAATAAAGAGACATGGTAAGACATGGTATGTATAAATGAGTAGAAAAACTGTGTTTGGAGCATAAATATATATCAGTAGAAAACAGTCAAAACACACTATGGGCGCTCATACTAACAAGGCAAAGAATAGAATTACAAGAAACAAAACATCTTGCACATAAATAATGTGCATGTAACGATCCCACACCGATCAAGTATGGGATTGATCGGTGGCTTATAAGCTAGGTGTCCCCTCCTCCTATTGGCTAGTCTTTTGGGAGTGAGTTCTACATCTGGGCTTATGGCCTTGGTATGGGTCTAGTATGAGCTAGGACTGTATCAATTGGTATCAGAGTCATCCTCATATTCCCTGTCCCAACACTCGAAGTGGTGGCCTATACAGTGGTGGCTTGGGCCCTGGGGGTGCCAACCGTGAGCCACATAGCCGTGACAATTGAGGACGTTGGCTCTTTGAAGCGTGAGGTATTGTAACAATCTCACACCAATCAAGTATGGGATTGATCGGTGGTTTATAAACTAGGTGTCTCCTCCTTCTATTGGCTTGTCTTTTGGGAATGAGTTCTAAATCTGGGCTTAGGGCCTTGGTATGGGCCTACTATGGGCTAGAACCGTATCAATGCATTCTGGACCCACCAATATATGTTTCCAAGAAGTGTAAAAAATGGTGTTACAGGCCCCATCAGGTGGAAGACTGCAGATAAGGCCAATCATAATAGTCATACTAGATATATAAAGCTGGTTCAATGACATAATTAGAAATGTGAGTACATATTACACACACCATGAAAAGAAATTATCATGTGGCATCTGTATGTAAACTTGTAAAGTAAATAAAAATTGGTAATATTGAAATAAAATAGCGCAAAGATAAACCTTACCTTTGTGGTGGTCAAGAAGGGACTTTCCTTTCCTATTTGCACTGTATGCTACATCTCTCCCATTCCTCAATTCCATGTTTCTTTCTACAGGCAGTCGAACTTTGACACCTTTCAAAAGCTTTTCATACTCTGACTGGTCATATGGCCTCTTAAGAATAGTAATGATCTTCTTCCTGAATGGAGATTGCATACTTTGACCACAAAACTTGTTCGTCTCATCTAGCTTTTGATGTATCAGGAAAGAAGTATAGCTTACAAGCATGTTGGGAAATAGTATAATACATTGAAACAAAAATGAAATATAGAAAGTGCAAAAGAATAGAGGGAGAGGCAATTAGTGGATTAACGGTTATTTAAAGAGGTAGGGAAAAGAGCATACACTGAGATATTCCTTTGAAGGGACAAAACAATCAGGGTATCTTTCACCAGCAATAGAATACTTGTTTTGAATAACTTCAACATCTTCAGAATCACTACAGCCATCCATATGACTGCCTGGGAATGAAGCTTTAAACCCATAGTTTGAGGTTTGTAGACAAACTAAATAATCTTCATCCTGGTCCTTACGATAGTATTCTACAAGCTGATTGCCATGAGACGAAGTATCAACATCAAAGATTTTAGATGACAAGTTTTGCCGGAAAACCAAGCAATTTTCATCTATGCTTACCCCCAGACTGTCCTCTCCCTCATAATCTATGACCAAGAGCGAGCCATTTTCTTCATGCCTAGTCATGTATGATGTGCCTTTCTGAACCGTACTAGCCAAGAACATAAAATAGTATGGGTCATCACTGTTGCCATCATCCGCCTCGTAACCACACTCATCCACATTTTCATAATGTAAATGCAAGAGCGAGCCATTCTCTTCATGTTTAGTGATGTATGATGTCCCTTTTTGAACAGTACTAGCCAAGAACTCCATATAGACTGGGTCATCACCACTCCCGTCATCTGGCTCATAACCAAAGTCAACCTCTTTTTCATAATGTATGGACAAGAGTGGGTCATTTTCTGTAAGTTGAGTTGTGTATGACAGGCCATTTTGAACAGTACAACTCAAGAAGGACATATAGTGTGGCTCATCACCATCAAGTAGCACAACAGTCTCCTGTAAATCTTGTTGACTAGGACCTTTGTTCTTTTGTTCATTCTCCAAGACAGTATAAACCTTACCATCTACCACTTTAAAGGCGTTTGAGGCTTCCGCCTCTGAGGCGCAAAGACGCAAAGGCGTCACTGAAACGCCAGTAGTCAGGCTTACGCCTTTCATTTAGCTGAGGCGCTAAACTTTAGCGGCTAAAGCATAGAAGCGAAGGGCGTAAGGCGTGAGAGATGCGGAAGCCTCAAATTCAACGCAACTGGGACTGAATTCTAAAAAGTGTGGGACTCGATTATTATTTTAAATTTCCCCATAAGATCTAAAATATGAAATACCTTAGAGCTGTTAGTAAACAATCGAGCGTCGACAGCCGACGTTCCTCGCTTCTCAAACGACGTCTTCCATTCTTCCTACGAGATTCACGACCAGCCACTTCAGGCACTTCTCTCTCACTCCAATTTTGACCAGCGTTTTTCGGCACTTTTGGAAGGCAGCGGAGCCGAGGTGGTCAATGATGTAGTGAAGAAGATGTCCAGCTCAGTTTAACTGAATTAGTTCATTTGTTAGTATATGTGTAAAACTAATACTACCACCGTTCTTAAATAAATGCAACACTTTGACTTTTACATTATTCACATTTTTACTTTGACTACGTTTTATTTATTAATGTAATAATATTATTTTATGAAAAAAATATTGCTAAACTTGTCTCATTGTAAATTTTCATAATCTATTTTTTTTAATTTTTTTACTAATACAAAATCATTTATGTTAATGGTCAAAGTTGTGTCTCGACAAGTGTGAAATGTTGACCGTTGCATTTATTTAAGAACGGAGGAAGTAAATGAGAGACATGTCTTCAAGTAGTTAAAAGTTAGTTAGTTAGCTAGCTTCTTATGGAGACTTGGACCAGATATACTCCCTCCGTTCTTTTTTAGTTGCAACGGTCAACATTTCACATTTGCCAACACACGTCTTTGATCGTAATTATATCTTAATTCTATTAGTAAAAAAAATATTAAAAATTAGATTTTGAAAAATTGTAATGAGATGAATTGAACAATTTTTTTTAAAAAAATAATTTTCATAAAATAATAACGTAAAATGTAGTCAAAGTATAGCATGCGAATAGTGTAAAATTCAACATGTTGCGATTAAAACGGAACGGAGGATAGTATATGGCATGTACAGTTCATTTCACAGTTAAGCAATAAAACTCTCTTCTCTATCAATTAGCATTTATACAATTCTCGTTGTTTCTTTCTACCATTCTTATGAGATGACCTCAATTGTATCATTGGTATCAGAGACTTTTCTGATCCAATTACTCTTTATCTTTGTGGTCATTTTGAATTTCTGGTCATGCCTTTTGGGCTGACCAATGCACCAGCTACCTTTCAAGCTTTCATGAATTATATCTTCAAGGATTTTTTGAGAAAGTTTGTATTAATATTCTTTGATGACATTCTAATCTACAAAGGTGATATGGAAAAACATAAGATCCATTTGAAGCAGATTTTTGAAGTATTGAGACAACACCAGTTATATGCCAAAAGGAGTAAGTGTGCCTTTAGAATTAGAAAGGTGGAATACCTTGGGCATTATATATCTGGTCAGGGGGTGGAAACAGATCCCAGAAAAAAAATGAATCTATAAAAAACTGGCACGTTCCAATCTCTTTGAAGCAGCTCAGGAAGAAAGAATTTTCTTGGATTATCTGGGTACTATAGGAAGTTCATCAAAGGCTATGCTTTGATTACCAAACCATTAATTGATCTGTTAAAGAAGGGTTCTTTTCATTGGACCAAGATAGCTACTGAGGCATTTGAGGAACTCAAAAAAACTTTGACTACTGCTCCAGTATTGACATTGCCCAATTTTGAAAAACAATTTGTGGTAGAGACTCATGCTTCCAAAAATGGCATAGGAGCTATGTTGATGCAGGAAGGGCACCCATTGACTTTCATTAGCAGGTCTTTGGGAACTAGATGGCAGAAGTTGTCAATATATGAGAAAGAACTTCTGGCCTTGGTGTTTGCAGTGCAAAAATGGGAGCAATATTTGTTTGGTCAGACATTTATCATCAAAACTGACCAAATGAGTTGAGGTGGTTGTTAGGACAAAAAGATTTTTACTCCCTTCCAACAATTTTGGCTATCCAAATTGATGGGTTTTAGGTATGAAATCCAATACAAAAGTGGAGTAGAAAATAAAGTGGCTGATGCTCTTTCTAGAGTTGTAGGAGCTGAACTATTATGATTAGCATTGTCAACTATCAATTCGGATTTTTTGGACTTGATTAAAACAAGTTATGAAGCAGATGAAGGGATACAACAGTTGATGGTCAAGATAAAAGCTAGCTCAAATCTGGAAGATGGTGCTTATAAAATGGTGGATGGTGTGATATGGAAAAAGGGGAAGATTGTGGCAGGCAAGGATGTTATGGTCAAAGAGAAAATCTTACAATGGGCACATAGTTCATCGTTGGGGGGTCATTCAGGCAGGGATGCTACTATCCAAAAGATTCGCCATCTATTCTTTTGGAAAGGAATCAACAAATATGTTCAAGCATTCATAAGAGTCTGTACAGTGTGCCAATCATGTAAGTATGATAATGCAACATATCCTGGTAACTGCAGCCTCTTCCTATTCCTCAAGATGTGTGGATGGATATATCAATGGATTTTTTTGAGCGATTGCCTAAATCTGGTGGTAAAGATGTTATTTTTGTAGTAGTGGACAGAATGAGCAAGTATGCTTACTTTATGACACTTAAACACCCTTTTTCAACCATTGAAGTAGCACAAATCTACCTTGATAATGTGTTTAAGTTGCATGGATGGCCTAGAACTATTATTTGTGACACAGGCTCTATATTCCTTAGCACATTCCGGACTGCTTTATTCAGTATACAAGGAGTAGATTTGTTATTGTGTACCTCTTTTCATCCACAAATGGCCAAACGGAAGTGGTGAATAGATGCCTCGAGAATTATTTGTGATGCATGTGTAGTGAGAAGCCAAACGAGTGGTGTAAGTGGATACCCCTAGCTGAGTGGTGGTATAACACATCATTTCACTCTTCTATTCAAATGACTCCTTAATCAACCCCCACCTTTGCATTTACCTTATTTGGCTAGAGAGAATTATGTAGAGGCAATGGACAAATCATTGCAGCAGAGGGAGGCCATGATTAAGGTGCTTAAATCTAATTTGGTGAAAGCACAGAATATGATGAAAGTTCAAGCTGATAAGCACATGTCTGAAAGAAAATTTGAGTTGGGAGATTGGGTTTGGTTAAAGATGCAATCTTATAGACAACACTCAGTAGAGCAAAGGACAAATTGTGGATCGTTGCGCTTACCGCTACACTAAAAGCAATCGCTGATAGTGTAGCACGCTCCTCCCCATTGATAGCACAAGTGAAGCGCCACGCGGTTCGATTGCACCGTCAAGCTGGCAGATTGCTTAAACACCTAGCCTGCACATGTAGTTAAAGAGATATTCACAGAACAGACAAACTAAACCAAGAAAATTCTTCCTTAAACTACATCTTTGTACTCTAGCTAAAATATTTGACAAATTTATTCACAACATCCTCAAAGTAGTGACAACAAGCTCTAATAAACTAGCTACAGATCAGAAGGACTTGTGAAGGCGGTGGTGAATGGTAATAAACAGTCCTTTTTTTATAGTTTGGAACATCCTAACAGGTATTTCGAAGCTATTGTTAGGATTAAAGAACTTAGTAGGCCACAATTTAGGAAAAATCATCTAAACCTATGCAAAGAGTAGGCATGGTGTACAACTAAGCTAAACCGCCGCGGCACATTTGTGCTTGGACGTATACTTGAAGTACGCGAAGGACTAAAGCTAATTATTGCAATAGCCTCCAAGTTCATTTAATTAGGTTCAGTTTTCCTTGTCATGTTGGCACGAGAAAGCCATTTCTTTCGAAAGATACCCAAGTCTCATCTTATTGTGCGAACACTTACGCTTTTTGACCGGGGCTCCCATTCTCTTTTTTGCAAGGTAAGACTTAAGAGGTCTAGCTATATTAATTTTTCACCTTTCTGTTTCTCACTAGACATTACCCCATTCTAATCTCGGCCTCACCAAGGAAAAATAGCAATTAAAGTTCATTAATTCAAAGTGAATCCATGCCTACAGTGCAATCCTCGAAAGTATCAAATTCCTAAAAAGTGACTGCTCTTACCCCATTTAGGGCATAAGAGCAGTGCCAAAAATGGCTCCTACAAAAATTCCCTAAACTTAGCAAATTAATCCCCTAGTTCCCTAAACACTAAGATTAAGTCAGAAATATTCACGGGTAAGGAAACACAAGCCACTTGGCTATGGAGCTCAATTAATTGGGTGAACAATAAATGGTTAGGCTCAAAATGACTTCTCCTAAAGGACTTATTTAGGTCAGGTGGATGCTTTAATCAATTCAATGGGTGACTAATGCCTTCATCCTCTCAACAACTAGATTATAGTGCAAGCAATTTAAGCCTAAACACTTCAGAGATGTTCTAAAAGCATAGTCAAAACGCTAGACAGCTCACAAAGACACAGGTTAAAGAAAATTTTTCAAAAAATTTGACATGACTTTCTATGAATATACAACTAACACATGTGCATGCTAACCGAATTAATATTGTTGGGTTAATGGCCTAACAAGGGCCAGCCCATCAACCCTTAGGGACCGTACAAGAGCATCTGTCAACGGGCCCAAAAGGAAGGCTAGAGTCAGGGGCCGCACGTAGTCCAGCATGACCAAGCTTCAGGGCCCAAGGGCCAGGGGACGTATGTAGTCCAGCATGACCAAGCTTCAGGGTCCAAGGGCTAAGGGACGTACGTAGCCCAGCGTGACCAAGCTTCAGGGCCCAAGGGTCAGGGGACGTACGTAGTCCAGCATGACCAAGCTTTAGGGTCCAAGGGCTAAGGGACGTACGTAGCCCAGCATGACTGATACGTTCGTAATTTCCATATCTATGTTTATGTTTTTAATTAGTTTTGCTTGACTTTTACTTTGGAAATTACACACTTTTGGTGTAATAGATTAGATTGTTAAATTCTTGTAAATAGGTTAGATTAGATATATTCTGAGCTTAAGCAGGTTTTGGTCACTCAAAGTACAGTTGGTGAACCCAAAAAGTGAAAAGAAGGTGCAAAAGTTCAAAGACAAAAGAAGATCCTGAATTTTGGTCTATACTCGGTCGAGTATTAGCTATACTCGATCGGGTATTAGGTTGGAACTTCAAATCGGATCAGATCCGAAGACAAGGGAACATGCAGGGAAGATTTCGGCCACGATTTTATGTCTATACCCGATCGGGTAGACCGACATACCCGATCGGGTATGCCTTTGAATTTCAAACGAAGATCGGTCGAGTATGGTCCGAATACCACTTTCTAAGCATACTCGACCGGGTACTCATATATACTCGATCGGGTGTACTCTTAGAAAATAGCCTTAAACCGGTCGAGTATGCCTCGGATCGAGTGTTACACACGTACTCGATCGGGTACCATGTATATACCCGAT